TCATGAAGTTACAAACAGGATGTAAACAGAGTAATAAGAATGGGTAAATTAGGTTCTTAATCTTCACATTGTGAACACCCACTTTTTTTTTTTTTTTTTTTTTTAAAGACAGGAGAATTACAATGAAACCATTGTCTCGCCTTAAGAAGCTATTATGAAGTTCAATTCTACTCCACTTTTATTAGAAGACCCTTAGGGTATTAAGTATACTTTCCAAGGCATTACTTAAAACTTATTAATTACATGTCATATTTGTATTAAAAAAGTCAAAACTTTTCAGTTACGTTTCATATTATCTGTAGGAATGCTTTGCTTTCTTACTCTCCATTTTGCCTACCTGGAAAGGATTCAAGATGTACATGATTATTTGCTTGAGGGTAAAATAATAATTTTTCATGACTTAAATTAGAGTGATGTATTGCAACTCGCTCATTTAAATAACAGAGATGTCTTAAATCACGGTACATGTGAGGTCAGAATAGACCTGGGTGTGTTCACCACGGTAACTCATAAAACCCATGTTTATAATTCAAAATGATTAAAAATACATGCCTTATGGGCCATTCACATGAAGAACTTTCTTCATCGAAAAAAGTTTTAGGTAAGTAAAAATGTTACAGCAGATATATTTTAATTATAAGTCACTGAATATTTCTATTACAACTGAAAAAGTAGACCCGTGGAACAAGATTTACCTTGAGCAAACAGTGTTTGCATCTTTTGTTACAGAAACAGAACACACACTTTGATTTCCATAGGATGTCTTCAGCATCAAGATAAAAATAATCATAATAAGCATCTGTATGAAGGCAGAAGTAAAGCTGATAGATCAATACATGTTGTACTGATTCTCAGTATACCTTTAGGCCTCTCATAAATCTGACAGATCTTTAAGTTTCTATTTTTTTTTTTTAAACTTGGTACCTTGATTGATAGCCAAGGTATAGAAAGAATCTTGCACTTCAGGTTCACTTTGCCATGCTCAGCGCTGGCTCTGTTCCAGTGGAACAAAACAAATGCAATGAGGGAAAAAAACAGAACGTATCTGAGAATGCAAAATAGTATATCTGGACTGATAGAAAAGAGAAAAATGCTTTTAGAAGGTTTTCACAAAATCATTAGTACTGAAGGTAAGAAACCTTCCCCCATGCACACACTCTTTGAAGCACCAAATCAAATTAAACAGTGATTCAAAATAAAGAGAACTGTTTGAAAAAGAACAAATGTATGGATAATCATTTGGAGGCTGATACATGGATTTTGTAACAGAGCATTCAGTTTTGGGGAACATCTCTCTCAAACGAATGTGAACCACAGCCAAAATTGATCAATAGTAATTCAAAGAAAATGTGCAAGGTCCAAAAGAAAAGAAGCTAAAATCTCAGTCAGAGGGAAAAAAAAAAGGTTCTTTTTCAGCAGGGAAGGAAGAAAGAATCAGGATAGCAGAGGCAACAGGAGGTGCAGAGGTATGAAGGTCACAGGAAGAGGCAAGGTCTGTCAGATGCGCTTGGTGTATGAAGGGAATGATGCACAGCAATAAACTGTGGGGGAAAGAGAGTAAAATGATAGAGTTATAAATACTGTGTAAACAAAATAGCAGAATGGCTAGTATGCTCAGTAACCTTAAAGAATGAAATTCCCAAAAAGAGGTGCACTTACATGCCTTGAAAATCAGAGGCTTTGTGCAATCCCACAGCTCCCTCTCTCACTATGAGACTGACTTCTGGCTTCATATACAAGCTAACTTCATTCCAACATAACACCTCCTGTTACTCAGGGTGTCTATGAATTTGGCTCTGCTTGCACTGAGTCTCAATAATCTATGAGGCAACGTGCCAGATGATGTCTGAACATCATGCTCTACCCTCTGCTCTGGCTTTAGGAAGAAGAGAAACGATGGTGGTGCGAGTCTCCATAGCCCCACCTGACATGTTTTCACACTCTGAAGACCATTGCTAAGAAAGAAAAGGCTGTGTTTGTCAGCTGCCTTCTGCAGCACTGCGTTATGATAGGCAGGCAAAATTCTCCTCTCAGCAGCCTGCAGTTCTCAATGAATTTGAAACCACATCTAACCACATGCGGGCTGTACTACCCATTATTATCAATGGTATCAAGAAAAATTTTAAGAATCGGATATGGGTGCTGTCCCTTAAAACGAACCTTGCGTTACCCTTCAGCTGACAGCATAAATGTCATCTGTGCCAAGTAACTGGAAAATGTTAACATACTCTACTCCTTCCCCTTCAAATTTTCTAGTTGCGATGTTTGTTTTGATTTACAATTGAAACAAAGACAGATTGAAATCATTATATCATTTTTCTTAATATCAGAACACTTTCAGAAATTTAAAAAACAATCACCAAACTTTACACAATGCAAACTGACTTCACTAATACCTTAGCCAAGCTAAGAACAAAGTGGATTTAGAGTGTTTAACCTCAGGATCTCACTCTATAAGAAGGTGAATTATTCTTTTTCAAGCAACTTTTAAATTTCATACGGCTCATAGGAGGTGCAAATCTGTTTTAATAATGCACTTGCAAACATTGCAAGATAGCCCATTTAATTGCTCTGCTAGGTAATGCAAACCTTCAACATGTGTGTTCCTTACCTACTGTTAGTAGAGAGTTCACTGATGGCATTTATTGAGATCTTTGCAACAGAAGTCACATTTCTGTATTAGCAAGGTGCAACCCATCTTAAAAATCACAAGCCATGAACGATCTGATTAGTAAGACAAGAAAGGACCTCATAAATCCCACGCACACAACATGCAGCTAAAGGTCTATTAGATCAAAAATTAACAGGAAAGCTCACTTAATGTGAATAAAAAGATGAAAGAGCAAAAAAACATGACAAACAACTGCGCTCTTGTTAGGGAAAACAGCTCTTACCATCACACCACACAAAGCTCAATATTCAAGTAAGGGACCTATTCATGAATGACTAGGGCTCTACACACATTTGGAAATCTCCGTGAAGAGCAATTACCATATGGTCTATGAAATGGGGATTCCTCAAAGGGAGTTTCTCGGAGCACATTGGAACAACTGTGTCCTCACTGGGAAGGCGTGAGAGGTGGGACACGGAGCCTCACCAACAGCGGCAGGAATTCAAACCTCACACGATCACAGAAGTTTTATTTCTGAGTGGGAAAGGCAATCTTGGGAAAGACAAAACTGCTGCTGATACTCGCCCACTCGGCAAAAGACAACCACAGCCCTCAGCAGGGAAAGCTGGTTTTAGAGTGATTTCAGAGCAAATATGCCTTTAATCAATATCTGGCATCAGCAGCTTATTCTCCTTCCCACCTTGTTCTATGAGAAAACAGTTACTGTGGTTAGAATTAGAAGGACTGGAAATACTGTTGTTCTTTGAATCTACCGCCAAAGCCCTGTTTGTACTGCTAGGGGCATTCTCAGGCAATAAAAAAACCTCATTGCAAAACCCTGTTCTTATACCACTCAATCGTGACGGTATCTAAGCACCTTTCAGAATGGCATTAGGCAATATAGTTAGCATTTGTCATGTGTGCTGCTTTCTCTCATGCGATATATCTACAAATATACACGCCAAACATCATATAACTTGGTAGAGCAGTACATAGTTCAGATTTTTTTTGTGTCATTTTTTCAACACTAAGTCTCTAAAATGCTCTCCATGCTTTACATCTCTAAAATATCCACTAAGCATTATCCCTTAGTTCTCAGTAAGCTGAGGATAATAAAAGCTCATGTAATGTTTCCATGTACTAGCTTAATCAAATATTTTTGGCTAGGATATTGTGTTTGTTTAAGAGCAAATGATCTGGCTGATAAAATCAGAGCTGCATTGATTGAAGTGTATTTGATCACTTGGACAAATCACGAAAGCATCTCTAAATATTACAATGGTAGATGAAAATGAAATATTAATGCAAAGAAGGCCACAACAGATTTTTAATAAAGAAAACAGTGTAGGCAAGCTGATGGTAAAAAGAAAATAAAAAAGAAAATATTTCAACCATGACATGTTTTCTGTGCATAGGCTGCTAAGAATGAGCTAGTTAATCCTCAATAAGATTTAGGTTTTCTGCTAGCATCTATCTCCTCAATTTCCTTCTCTCCTCAGCACAAAACTTATCACTCTGTATCTGCTTTGGATTTAGCTGATATTCAAACGCACCAAGATCATTATATCAGAGAGCAAGAGCTACCTGCAGAAAAATCTCTGTGAAGCAGCAGCCTGGAAAAGACCTTTGCCAAGTAAGGAGATGTTCATGGTGATACTTCCCTCTCCTATGGCTAGGAGACATAGCCACTGGATGCCACACTACACGGAGCTTCCCTGCCTTACAAGAGCTACTTGGGTGTGCAGGGCAAGCCCACAGGGAGTATGTGACATGATCAAAGGCCTGGAGTATATACAGAGATATAAAGGCAGTCAATGGCTATGCGGTATGAAAACATACTTCTTTGCAAATACCCATGGCAGATTGTTTTTGGTCTCTTAATAGCTGTGCCCCAAGGGGAAAAGCACACAAAGGACTATTCAGGGCTGACAAGGAAGGTGTACCCATTGAAGCAGGAAAATCTGTAGCAATATACAGCTGGTGTAAATGGTGGCATTTTCCTGAAGGGAGGCACCCAGCAGGTTCCAAACTAGACCCATAGATCTACTGTGTCTCATAATAATTTCTCAGGAGAGAAAGAAGAAGAATCAATATGTGACAACCAAGTCTTGCTTCCAACTGCACAAAGTCACATGGTTTGATGGTTGTTTTCAAATGTTTCTACAGAATGGTCAGGCATCATCAGCAAAATCATGTCCAAACACGTTCTTCATTTATGTTATAGTAATTAGTTACACTGAATTGGGCATTTCAAAAGAAGACAGGCTGGAAGAGAGGGGAAAAAACGGACAGGTATGCCTAAACAGCAGAGAGGAAAGTCTGGAAAAGTTATGCCTGAGAGTAACAATCAAGAGAGAGGAGATGTAAATAGATATATTCTGTAACATACGTTTAGATACCAGCTCTGTGGGTGCTGTAACATCTGCTCCTCTGTAAGGGACTGCTGCATCCGTCCTGTCTGTGTCGGGAGGAGGGTAAGGTGGGGGCGGGGGGATCTCTAACTGGGGTGGACCACGCGGGTTGCCTCTAGGAGGCTTTGATGGCACCTGCCGTCCTTCACCTACAGGGGATCAATGGACTTCAAGTTACTTCATCGCCAAAGTAACGATTGCTCTGTCATTACATCTTAAACATACATTAATTTTTCTCTTACCCATGCCCAACGTCTCTCTGGATCCAATTCTTCTTATATCTATCACAATATAAATATCAGAGGAAAAACTAGATCTCTCTCAAGTTGATGGCCATGGGTTCAGAATCAGGCCCAACACATATATCAGAACAAACCTTCTCTAGTCTTTTGGCAAATGTAAGGAAAGAGAAAAAAAACAGGGGAAAAAAAAAAGTGTGAGAAAAAAACCCACCTATGTAGAGCACATGAGAACATACGAAAAAATGTGCTTTATTTTCATCTCCTCAAGTGACAAACTGCCTCAATTTTTTGACCTCTAGAATCATTATGTGACTACTTTCCTGGCTCCCTGAGAGAAAAATAGAAATGTTTCAGAATAGTATTTTTAGAAGGCATCTTGATTTTTTTTTCTTTTTCTGATAAGTTGTTTTATTATTTTGACATTGTGGAAAAGTAGCTGATTAAACAGCTCTTTGCTACACAATGTTTTAAGCTATCCATGGAAATGCTTAGAACTTTAGCTGGGGATTTATTTCAGCACTGTGCAAAATAAGCTAAAAAAATCATGCACCTTTGCACTCACTATATTGCATTAACCATCTGCAATGTCAAAAACAGCTGCCAGTTTGTTGCACACAGGCCTAGAGCTAGCTGACGCTAGCTGAAGCTGTATCTCTAGCTGAAGCTGTATCTCCTCCCTTTTTAGCTTTGAGTAGAGACATGCAATGACTCACAGATCTATATCTAAAAACACATTCACTATTGTCATACTTGGCTAATTGTGGCATTCCCTGCAAATTCAGAGGACTCCTATAGCTTCTCATTCTGTTTCCAACCTTCTTTTAGACTTATTTAAAGCTTCGGTTCTGACTTTCACATGCATAAAAGTGAGCATTTGCATCAACCAATCTTCCAGGCTTGACTTGGGCGTTTTGAGATGCATGAATCCTTAGATTATTATCTCCACAAATGCTGATCTTGCAATTCAGAAAGTCCTAAGAGGCTGGGGAGAGCATGCTGAGGAAACAGGACTGCCTGCTCATTCTGTTCTTACACCCTTCCTTAGGCATCTGCTATCAGTCACTGATGAAGAGGGACGCTGGTCTGAACTATTATGACCATTCCTATACTCTTAGGCACTGGTGCTGCCAAAAAGGGATGAAGCACCAAGGTGGAGAGAATGGATTAAACTCACTGAGATGTTCTTAAAAATCACTAGCTTCTAGAGATTCAAGATGCAATTTAAATGATTTGTCCATTTGCAGGCAATCTGACTGCTTTGAGAAAACTGGGCACAGTCCTTCAGAATAGGCAATTCAGTGTTAAATACTTCAAGAGCTCCATTTGCCCAACTGAGAAAGTTTTCAATAGGCTCTTCTGCTTTGATTCACCTGGGTTGGCTGGGTATCTTTAATCCTTTCTCCATCACGCTGTTATTTCCCGCAGCACTTTTTCTCCCCTTCACTACTGTCTTGCTTTGTTCACAGCTATTCCCTCTTGCATTCTGAGCCATCTGTGCTTTCTCATCGTTTTCTTGCAAAAGACCCAAAGAGAGGCTGTTTCACCAACCTTCCCTTGCTGCAATTTTCTCTTGTTAATGAAGGTATTCATTCAGGAAAGCAGGAGAAAATGAAAAGCACTGAGGCTGGGGCTACTGTGGGACAAGTTCTTTGCCGATGTAAACCAGCAAATCTCCATTAAAGTAAATGATACTACGACATCTTACATCAACAGAGGCTGGCCAAGAAGCCCTTATGTATACAGCACTCAGCCGATAGAAGTGGTCTGTTCTGTTTCATCCATAGCATTCCTAGCACTGCCATGAAATAAAATTAACACTTACAGAAAGTTAAAGAACCAAATGCCATGACTAAGTGACTTGCTGTAATAGGGGAAGGCATCTGGAATGACAGGCTGTGACATCAGCAATGGTTAACAGAAAGCCAATTTTCCAAATACTCTTGTATTATATGGCATGGTGATAACATTCCCCTTAGAGGGCTTATTTAAAGGATGTCAATGGAGTCGAACATGTCACAAGATAATGGACTCCTGCTCCTACATAAATGCTGAGGCATTAAATGTGAAGCATTTACTGAAAATAAATGTTGGAACAAAGCCAAGAGGTTTCTTTCTAAACTGCGAGGCACTCGTAATGTAAGCAATTATGTATGACAGGATGTCATATCTCTATGTCTTAGGCACTTTATGAAACATGAGGTCAAAGGCATGAACTGGAGTGCACTGAGTGCATTATGGCACTTGAAGAATGATTCCCTTAATGTACCGAAAAACAAGTTCCAATATGTGGGGTTATCATCTCACGGTTCTACTCACGACAAAATCACTTTGCTTGCTAAAAGCCTAATCTTGGTGTCCTCTCCCAGGCAAAGCTCCCACTGATCTGAATAAGCTAGCATTCAGATAATGACAGAAATCTGAGAGAACATTTGTCAGTCCTCCTGTATCAAAGCAAATGTGGTGTCATGTACAGCTGGTGACTACAGCTTCTTTATTGTCTCCAGCTATGTGTGGAATTCCTTCCAGAGCACCAGCAGCAATTTTCTTCTACTGATTAACTAAAGATTCAGTGGATATTAAGTTGAAATAGGACTAAATGCTAAATTAAAAAGATGAACTTCATTAAACATGGTCAGTTGATAAATAAAACTCTTCAGATTATAAAATAAAATATATTCAGACATCAGAAAAATTAGGTGAACCTGAGCTAGTCTGCTGTATTTCAGTTTATTTCAGGGAAATCTCATGGCTTCATAAAGATTCACTTTCCATTTATGGATCAAACCAGTGTGACTTTAAAGTCACGGAATGGCGCAGACCACCAGCGCTTTTGAATACCAAATGTATGCAGAATATTCATCTACCTTTTACTACTCTACGGTAGCCAGAAAGTGCCGTTAAAGTAATATACGGACACATATTTCCAGACTTTCATTCTGTAGAGTAAATGGGATTTCCTCCGGCCCCCGCGGCAAATTGCAAAGGCCCCAGCTCACAGCATGACCGAGTTATGGAATTGCTGAACAGCAAGCGTCCAAAGCACATGCGGGGGATGATGCAGAGACAAGAACCTCACTCACCCATTGTGCTCTTCCGCTTGTCCTCCCTTTCTTCTGTCCTGTTTGGCATGGCAGGAGTGGGGGGAGCTGACGGACTTGGCGGAAGAGGGGCACGTCTCTTCTTTTTCTGTAAATCATTTAGAGATGCTCCATGTGAAATCTAGAAAATTAGAAAAAAAATGCCAACGGTAAGAGAGCAGTTCTTTAGATTTTCTAAGTTACCAGTAGTAGAAAAAAAACAATCTAGTTATCACATGTCCTATTTTCTTCAGCACATAGCATCACCAAAATGTTTATTTTGAGAATTTATAGTGACAATAGGAGATTAAAAAGAGCAATCAGAAGAGGTGTGGCAATATTGTGCTAAGAGAAGGAAAGGGTAAGAACTTGCACGTTGACATTACAGCAATACTGTCCATCTACTACACATTTAATGTTTGATGGTAATTACAGAGACCAGTACTTGGTTATGGACTGTAGGACACACCATTTGATGTACAGTCTGATAACATGTTCTATTTTTCCACCGGTTTCCTCAGAACCTAAAATATGGTTAGACAGATTAAGGACTGATGAATTGCGAGAGGAAAAACATATTAAATGTCTTACTGCCTGACAACACAATATCATATGATATTTTATTTATGATTACTGGGCATTCTAGACAAACTTTTGAAAGTCTGTCTATATAATAGCACCACCTCCAGTAATTGCAACATGTTAGCTGGCCAGCCAAAACTTCATTCCTGTTTAGACTTTAAAATGTGCCTTTGGTTTCATTGGGTTGCGCTGTATTTCCTGTAGATTTCTAGAACTTAGCTCTTTTTTCTTTTATAGGGGAAAAAATAAAATAAGAAAAAAAAAAACAAAACACATATAGGAAAATTACTTGAGCTTCTATGGCCGAGAGGTAGTGACAATACCAGGAAAATAATAGGTTTAAGGCTGAGGGAAATGCAACCTGTCCCCATACAATGCTTGGCGTTGGCACTCCTCAGGTTTCACTTGCATCCCTTCCCTGCTTTGTTCTGATGCTCCACAGAGCTGAAGATATCTAATATACAGAATTGCCTGGTGGTTTCCTAATATTGCATAGGCCTTAATAATAATAATAAACTTTCCTTTAATCTAGAGGATTAATGAACACTTAAGCCCTATTTTCGAGGGAAGATTTCATTAAAAAAATAGTAGCTTCACATAGCTTAAAGCTATTGGAGTTCAGAGGTGCTCATTGACATAGGACAGTATCTTTTGTTAGGTTCAGTGAAAACTTTGAGGATAAGTTAATTTTATCAGCCTACATTTTTAACAGCATTCAAAAAGGGCTTGGTTTATAAAAGCAGATTCATTCAGGAACCAAAATGCTGAAATTTAGCTGTCATCCTCCAAGAGAATGCTCCAACCATGGCACTATGCAAACTTTTTCTTGGGAAAAGAAAAGCCCCTCTGCTTGCTGCTCTGGAAAGAAGTATGTTAATCGAACCAAAATGCAGCTTCCTGGCAAACTGATTCTGAACAGCAAGGGAAGGAAGGAAGGAAGGAAGGTGTCCTGCATTTGGTACCGTGGTTGTTTCTGTATGTTACATTAAATATGTATTGGATATAACATATTACTAAAGTCAGTGAGACCAGTCTAGGTAAAGTTAGGTATAAAATTCATGTCCAAGAATGCTAATAGCAACTAGTGATTTTTGCAAACTTACTGGGCACCTAACTGTAGGGAAGAACATCAGCCCAAACACTCAAGAATGAGTACAGTAAAATTTTAGAGTTACTTTGGCCCAAAACAAGGAAGTTAGCCCATAGTAAGCTGGGGCATGTAGGAAAATACTGTGACTGACTGAAATCCCTGCCCCAGATCCATAATGTCCATGGGAAACACTGCTTGGTGACTCATCAATCTTTGGGTTTGCTAAGGAGTAATTACATGGAAGACAACTGGCTAATACTGCATTCTTCTCCATGTCTATTTGGAGTATTTGGAAAAGAGGCACTTGTTTAAATATAAAAAAATATCACATCCTGTCTGCACTGTATGTTCAGTAGCTAAAGATACAGCAGCAAGTAATACTGTATCTTGAGTCTTGAGGACAGTAACTTACAGAAAAAGAAAAAAAAAAGGCATCTCTTGACATGTGGATGAGACTAAATATTTAAATTTGAGTACAGAGTCTGCAAAATTGAGTAGCTGTAGAGAATCACAGGGGAGACAGGCAGCACCCAAAGTTTCCCAACATTTGGCAAGGGCAAATCATGATTTTGGTGGTTGTTTAATGGCATTTTGTAGCTTTCACATTTACTTTCCAGGCGGAAAGGCCATTGCTCTCAAGAAGGACAAAGACTGGTGATTTAAATGACAAGCCTAGAAAGGTTTGAGAATGAAGCAAGGAAGTAAGGAAATGCATTTTTTCCACTTGGAATGATAACGATCAGTAGTCACTCTTCGCCAAGCACCAGATGAACGAAGCATGTTAGTTTGGTATAGTCAAATTCCTCAAAGATACATCACTGTTTTACTAAGAAGAAAGAATTCTTTACACAAGCCTTCTGAGGAAGATTAGATACATGGATGAACAAACTGCTATTACTTTAAAAAAAAAAAGTTTTTACTATACTGTCAGTTAAGCATACTAACTTACAAATTCCATTTAAAAGATGAAAAGCCTGTTCAAAGCTAGCCACACTACAATGTATATAAGAAACGCCTAGTTCAAGAAGAGGTCATAAAAATTGTTAAAAGTAGTTCTTGAATGTCAACCTCAGTAAACCTGTGAGGCTAAACATATATGGCAAAATACACAAAGAACATTCTATTTCTTTCTTGTAGTTCTATTTACTAAAACAATAGCACTTGACAATAATTTGTTATGGCTGGCTGCTTCTTTTATAAAGAAATTAAGCCTTAACAACATTATCTGAAGTAATTTCCCGTCCAAACTTTGTTATAGTAGCCCCTCACCGAGCGTGACAGAATATTTGCTGTTCTTAGCACTTCTACTTCACCTATGTAGCACTTCTGAGAAAGCATTCATTTAGACACTATGAGGTAAGCTCTGCTGTGCAAAAAATAAAGAACTTTTAAAGACATTGTAAGCGTTTTCTGACTATGCCATCAACTGAACTACAAGTGAATAAAGTTGGCCACAGTGACCTAAATCTGACAGTGACATTTTTGTTCACATATTGATGAGGCCACATACGATGCAAAAAGGCAATTTTCTATTAAATTCATTTCATGGCCAATATGCTGCTTGGAAAATATTTCCAGTATTGCAAACTGAATATTTCAGGAATGTGATGAATATGTTTTACTTCCGTGAAAGCTCAAAACCTTAATTAACATTTCTGGGCTTTAGCTAAGATTTCAGATCATCTGATCTTCTATCTCTAAGATTTTCAGAATGGTGCAGAAAGGAATCCTACAAGACTTATGTTTGAAAGTTTCACCTACTAGGATATCACAGTCATCTTGCTTACAGAGGACCTGCAGATAACGTACCAGTGAATATTTAGCTTAAGATTGAATAATTTCACGGGCAAAAGGTCTAGGTGAAAAGAATATGTAATTGTGAAAAATATTAACAGAGCTTCAAGGAAACAAGAGCCACCATCATCAAAAGTGCATCAAGTATTCAAAAATCAGGAGGTTCTCAAACTTCTAGTGTAAGCTCTCCCTACTGCTTTTCCTATCCTCTACTTACAGGATGAGGCAACATTTTTCCATTTATCAATCCTTCACTATTATTTTTCCTAATGGGTATGTTTATCTGTGTAAGTACTTGTCCTCTTCTTTTATTCAACACCAAATTTGTCCTTGCTTCACCACAGATCTCATGCTCCCAAAACCGAGCTCCCTTCTGCAAGCCAGGAGCAGTATCAACCATTTGTGCTTTGCTATCCCCTCTTGCATCTAATGATCAATGCAACCCACTCTGTTAATGAAATAACCCTTTCTTTTTAATTGCTATGTGGACTGTTAAGGAAATCATGCTACAATATTTCCACCTCCAAAGACAGATGAAAGAGCAATAGCAGGCTGGGATAGCCACACATCTCCACATCTACTGCACTATGAATAGCCCATAGCCTCTTGTTCTAGATGGTACAGAACAAGCAACTAGACTTAATGCAACCTTGAAAAGGCACCTAGGCCTAACAATGGCATTGGTAAATGGTAGAATACTGCAATGTTTTAACTACTATAGGTTTATCTTCCCAGATAGAGTATGTGGCTGCTAACAAGGTGTTTTAAAAAGGTGAAACAACTGGCCCAGCTGCGTATTTTGGATTTGAAGGGAGACATCATGAAACTTTTAGACTGCATGCTGATGACCACTTTAGAGGTTTCTCAGAACTATCATCTGCCTTTCTTTAAATCTTTTCTCCAGTTATTGGATACATAAGGGAGATACAGCAATGCTCAAGAACTTCAGTGTGGGGACACAGAGCCCAGGAGAAAGTTAATTTTCTTTCTTTCCCCTCTTCTCACAAGACTGATATTAGGGAGGAAAAAAAGACAACAGAAGAAAGAAAAATACTTTCTGGAAGACTAAGAATGAACTTGGGGAAAAACACTGAATAACCTCAGCTCAGAAACACATCACATAAGCAGGGTAGACAACTTAAAAATTCCCATGGAAAGGCTCCTTGGACTTGTGGATTAAAATGAAACATCATCTTCGTCAGTTACATAGGCTGTTTTCTGAGTATCTGTAGGTGTTTGTATGGCAGTGTCTAGAGCTCCTGGAGAAAGCCACAACTACTAACAGATGGATATAAGCAGTTCTAACTGTGCCTAACAAAACACCTCAGGGGATCTTGTTGATAATGCTGTTGAGATGTCAAAAAAGTAAATAGTTTGTCTTTCAGAAACCAAACTACTCTGTTTAATATTTTCATAAACACTTTTACAAAAAACATTTATCTTATAGCAACAGATTTTCCTTTTTACTCTCACTTTTCTCATTTTGCCATATAAAATGAACAATAGAAACCACAGAACCCAACAATCTTCCACATTTTTAAATCAAAATTATCCTTAATACAACTTCATTTCTGCTCAAACACCTAAGCTGCAGGTGAAATACGCGTTCTTTCAGGAACAAGATGTCTGAACTAAATATTGCTTCTAAGGGGAACCCTATGTTGGTTATGAATCAA